CGCAGCCACAAGCAGGTCCACGAGAGAGAGTGAGATCAAATCGAGGCACGGTCGATAATCAATAATCAATGAGACCGCCCGAAACGAGACAATAACAGGAAAAACTCGTAAAATAGACTTTTCAATGTGGCAGTTTCTTCGTTAACTTCACACCCTGCCACTGAGATGTTCATAATGTCCGACGATATAAGAATAAGTAGTACTAGACAGAATTCCGAATACTTAGACGATCAGAATGTGAAATTTGAGCTTTCATTTTTCTGGTTTCATTCTCGTCCAGCCCTCTTTTAATCGTTTCTCGAAGCCTTTTCTCACTTTGGAAACACCGATGCACGCGGTTTCTTCACCTCAGTCGCACTAGTTTCGATCTTGTCCTCCATTTTTCATCATAATCTGGATTACCCAAAATTATCGTGAACTGCGCCATTAAAGAATCGCCACAATCGAGCCGCCTCGACAGTTTCACTTTCTGTTACATGCTCTAGACCCTAGTCCCCTTCTTCAGTTTCATATTCTTGTTCATATTTCTCGTTCTTGCCTTTACAGCATATAACCTTGCTTTAGCTCTTAATGTTGTAAAACTGGTGCTGCCTTAATTACCCAAATTCGAGGTAAACGACAAAACGTTAGTGGCGAGTTGTGCGACGACATCAGAATCCACATGAAAGCTGGGCTCAATAGGACGATGTCCAAGGTTTCGAAGAAGTCGAGTAATGATGACCGTAAAAGGCTAACCCTATTCGTTTTGCCACTTCTCGCGTCCGACTGTTTCCAAAAGAGCAACGGCTCAAAAATGATGTGGAACGTCTTCATCGTTTTGCTCTCTCTGGCAAACCCCGTGAAAGGTCACTGCAAAGCTGCTCCCATTGTTATAACGACCCCTGATAGTCTTCATAGCAGCACAGCTCGGAAAAGGTTTCAGAGGCCCCCTATGACTCTCAAAATTTAGGTGCATTTGTTCTAAACTGTAGTTTTTCTATATGTTTTTCAATATGATATCTACACCGGAAAAGAATTTCACGCGTGAAGTTATTTTGCACTTTTTCGAGGGCAGTGATGTCTCTTTTCCCTCCAGTCCTTATACCATGGATAGGGTTACCATCTCCCGCGTAAACTGTGTAAGGGATCTGGGCTTTCTCTATATCGACACTCTCGACTTTTCCACGCGCATTCGTTCTCAGCAGCGTTCATTACTGCGCACGTCACATATTTTCGAGTTGCTGTCTACCACTGACATCTCCATCCTTATCAAAGCTTACAAGACATATGTTCGAACTCTGGTTGAGAGTAGGGCTACAGTATTTCATCCCAGCAGGGGGAAGGACGTCATTGCCTTTGAAAAAGTACAAAATAACTTCACGCGTAAAATTCTTTTCCGGTGTAGATGCTTCTTCTATTCTGATATTCCTAGAGCCTCCACTCGTAATAGATTTCTTGAACTCTCAACATTGGAATCACGGCGCAAGGTGTTTGATGTGTGTATGGTTCACAAACTTCTATAGTAGTGTAGTGATTTTGGCTCCTTTAATGTTTATGAGACAACGCATTCTCGAACGAGAGGTGGGCAGACTAAAAGTATACTCCCTGGGCCAGACATTCCACTTTTAGAGATGGTAGTTCGCATAAAAAAGTCACAAAAAATCTGACCGTCCCCGACTCTATGAGTGGGTACATACGTCACATGACAGTGGTTCTAACCAAGTATGAGCTTTCCTAATTTTCTGAGTCAGATCAATCGATTCATACTTATGTCTTTCTCTAATATCTGGATTGGGGTTGCGTTATGTGTTAGATGGTTTTCGTTCTAGTTTATTCGTTTGTCAACTGCATTTATCTGTGGATTTGCTTGGTCTATTAAGCTGATTTCAGAATGTTGTTTTTTTTGCCTTTGCCTTAGCAGAGTAATAAACATAACAACATAGAACATAGTACATAGTGTTGCTGCATTCTATGTAGAATCTCCTGTTTCAACCAATGGAACAGATCACGCTGTCTGCCTCCCTGGAACAGAGGTATGTTATATGGAATTAAGAGATGATGATGACGCACAATAGCTTCTCTCCCATACTATGAAAAGTAAGGATATCACCAACACCTAGGTCAAATCATTAATTTCAGCTTTTTGAGCTTCACTACTGCAGTAATTTGACAGCGAACAACGGAAATCGCCCTCTGATTCTGGACGTTTTCAGACCCTTCCATAGGAAGTAAAGTGGTCTGCCCGCGCCTTTGTTTTATGGGGAAGGGTTCCATCTATACCGAAATGATGTTAGATGCCGTGCTTGATGAAACATTAAAATTTCCTCGTTTGTGACAATACTGAAGTTCATTTTAAAAAAAAGATAATCTTCCATCCATACAAAGTAAAGAGCTAGAGGATCAGTGTTCCAGCGAATAATACCGAAAGTTACATCTTCAATCAAGATCCCTCCTCATCACTTAAAGACACTTCAGTTCACGATAAAAATGGTTTCTGAGAACTCTCCCTATGTTGTTGAATCCGTGACGTCCCTTGCACAATATTTGGTGCTGTCAAACCAGTAAGCGAGTTAGGGCGTAATAAACTGGTCAGAGACTGCACCGGCTCAGTGTCACAGCGGGCGAGCTTCAACGGCATTGTAAAGGCTACACCATCTCAATGGACTCCCATGTTAGAAATTCAGAAAACTGGGTGTGACCCACGACGATATTGAAAGACAGTTTCGGACATCCTTGGCCCAATTTAGTCAGCTCTTTATGTAATCACAACAACCGAAACCTCTTCCAAATATCTCCCATAATCCTTTCCCGGTATGGTGACTTCGTACAATCTCTTTAACCACCACTACACCAAAGTTGTTCTCCGCGAAAGCGACGGATTCCCCTGCTTTCTTTGCCACTGATGCACTACTCTCTACTAGAACTTGTGCTTTTCAACTCAAAAGGAGTACCTCAAAATTGAAGTGAGCCTCTAAGAGTTCTCTGATATCCCTACACACTTTTCTTCAACAAATTTAGCTGAGATGTACTTGATGCTTTCATGATGATTTTTTCCGCTTGAAGTCCCTTTAAGTCATTGCGTATTAAGTTCCGTCACCAAATCTTAATCTCAATCTGAGGGAACTGACACTGTTCATGTCTGGAACCGGTTGAATTCGCAACAAACCCGCTTTTCTAAATTGTCTATGAATCGACACTGCCAGAATTCAAAAGTAGTGATTATCGGAGTACTCAAAAGTATTCCATGGGCCACTTCTCAACCAAGTCTTTCTTCTGCTGAATAACTACATGAAATTTCAGTATGTTGTGCCAAATCATGATGTTGACAGTTCACACTATTTGACTGGTGTGAGTGCCTTTGCTCTTCGTCCCTTACACAAAAAAGACTCAGTGTCATTGGATAAAGCGTAAAACAAAAGCTAGTGAATGCTGCAAAGAACTAGTCTTAGAGCCAACCGCGGTCAGTACCAGTTATCACTCCAGCCTCAGTTCTTCCCTCTATAGTTGGGTTTCGAATACACGGTGACAGTTAGGGTGTGATTAGTGTGGATACTCTCAACTCCCGATATCAGGGTTCTCCAGGGTAGAAACATGTGTTATTCAGAAACGTTTTATATCCATCAGGAACATATTCCATCTGTGTTGCCAGCCCCGTTCTCTTCGTGTACAATAAAGTAGCTTTGACATCTTTTTCGTTTGGGTGTGAAAATTGCTATTAACAGCAACGAAAGGCCCCTCATTAAAAAGTTTTCCGACAAACTCAACACAGTGAGCGGTCTTCCTACCTTTTACGGCTTCGAAGTTAGAGACACACTCAGACACTTAGAGACTGCTCGAAATTTTTGCAGCAGCCTGCAAGTGCTTCGGTCTGAGCGATGTCGTGTTCTGATAACTTTTTTGCTGTCAGCTGCTGTCGTACTTCTCAAAAGTAAATCGTTTCGTGGGTGTTGCGGAGGAGGTTGGCTATAGTAATGACGTGCTTAGAGTGAAATGCCGCATGTCAATTTGAAAACCTGGCTGCTTCCGGAACACCGTTCCTTAGGTACGCATTAGCGCATGCCGCCATGCGGTTATCTTTTCATGCGATCTCACCTATTGCCCCAGTACCAGTTTTTTGCTATTTGCAGACGCTGACCACTCCTAGCCCACGGTGAAACAAATCTCATGTAAAAAATTGGTTAAACATCCGCTGAGAGAGAGCAAATTAGAGGAATCGGTTTCTTACAGTGATTACTAACTAGCGAAGAAAGGTCAAAGTTCGGAGGAAGGGGGCCGTTCAGCTGAAATGTGTCTCAATTGGCAGTTTTATCTCCAAATATTGCATCTAACTAACTCACTGGCATTTTCAACAGTTTAAAATTTTAGCAGACAGGAACGTCACAATGTTTACGATTTCTCGCAGCGCCACTATGTAAATTGCGCGAGGTGTATCCCCGGTCCCCTGGTCCACTGTAGCATAACCAACCCCTGCTACTCACCATTGAAAGTGATGAAAAAGTATTCACTGGTAGATTATAATGTACGGGTGGAGGTGGTGCAGTTTTAAGTTGCGCACTATCACACACGAATGGTAAGGGGTTCAAATCCCGGCTCGATGTTCCCTAGCTCAATCAAGAATTAGTCCCGTGTCGATTAATTGATAGCAGGCTCATCTGAAGGATATAAGCACTGACTTATACGTCGACTGGCCATCGCAAGTCGCTGTGTAGGCCACATATGCGTTCAAACGCTTCTATGATTCTGAATGGAAGTCGAATGTTTGGAGCACCCCTCACGCGGGATTACCAACGCCCAAGTAGCCTTATCCGTTAGGCTTCAATGTATTAGGTTGTAAGGAAAGTTCTGGCCGTTCCCACGTATGTGCCATATAA